ATAAAATTACACCTTGTTTCAGCCGAAGAATACACAAGTTACTTGGATGAGAACAGCGATGCCTGTTTTGTAATGAAACAAACGTTAAGCAAATTAATAAGAAAAACAAATAAGCGCCCCCCAGTGGCACAGCGGCATGTCTGCGGACTTACAACGCTACCCGTGGTGGGCAGAGCACAGATAGCCCATTGTGTAGCTTTGTGCTTAATTACAAACAAACAAATAAGCAAGTTGTACGAGTGTAAAAAGAGATTTTACAAGATAATCTATCTGTCTGTCTATAAATATATATTATCAGTCCATTGGGACAGTTGTGGGCAATTCTAGCATCTTCACAAATAACCATTATTCTAGCATCTTCACAAGACTCGGAGTATTTTTGGTTCTACCACAGCGTACTCAAATAAACCTTTCTTGTTTTGTTTCAGCAGTGTTTTATATCAGACATATTAATGGTTATTTGTGAAGATGCTAGAATTGTGGTTATTTGTGAAGATGCTAGAATAGTGGTTATTTGTGAAGATGCTAAAATAGTGGTTATTTGTGAAGATGCTAAAATAATGGTTATTTGTGAATATGCTAGAATAATGGTTATTTGAGAAGATGCGAGAATAATGGTTATTTGGGAAGATGCGAGAATAATGGTTATTTTATATTATATTTATATCATCACAAACCTGATGATGACATAATTCTTAGCTAAATGATAAATTACATGATGTTGGTATTAGTGTAACAGGAAACCTTTAGAACGAGTAAATTTTATTTCAATTCCTGTTAAGAAATAACCTTCATATAAAAACATCTTTCAGCAGTCGTGGCCGAGTGGTTAAGGCGATGGACTAGAAATCCATTGGGATATTCCCGCGTAGGTTCGAATCCTACCGACTGCGATATTTACTTATTTGAATGGAATACTTTACGATTATTTTCTCTAATAGAAGTAATCAAGAAGTTTTTAAATATAGAACCTAAAGAATAAAAATAATATACATAATGACGAAATTCTTACATATGTAATAACAAATTATTCTGTATAAACAGAACATTAAATCACCACTAATCTTTTAATAATCAGAATCCTTGGAGTTCATATCTTTAAACTTTAGTTTGCAAGAAACTAAATCTAAACGTCTTAATATAAATATATATTTTTAGTTATCCTTAATATGTCCTAAGATACACCTTCTCATATGATATTTCACTTGGTAAAGGATGGGTTTAGAAGTACTGACCGAAATTAGTTCATAAAATTGTCAGTGAAATAGTCGAATAAATACTATAGATCGAACAATTCGATTTCTCCGAATGTTTTAAAAAGTTAATCACTCGCAGTTGGTAGGATTCGAACCTACGCGGGAATATCCCAATGGATTTCAAGTCCATCGCCTTAACCACTCGGCCACAACTGCTGTGGAACTACCATCTTGAGGTAGTGATATCTTTTACTTTTATAACAACATATTAACAGTTTTTTTTAACTATATTTTCTAATAAAACAAAACATAATGAAGGATATCCGCAAATCTTCGGTATTCCATCTATTATGAGGCAGTATGTCTTGAATATTAGAAGAGGAAGTTAATTTTTCTGTGTCGTCTGTAAGTTCCCATGACTACAGAACATTAACTGGTGTTAAAGGACGGCTGATAAAACCTGGTACACTGAACTATAGAATATAAATTGTAAAAATGATCTTTTTCCAATTGTTCTATTTTTGCGAAGGCGAACGAACCGGATATAACACCCCAGGTTAGATGTCTTGAAACGACAATTGAACCCTAAACAAACAATGGGGTAGGAATGGGTGTGACAAGCGCAACAGTTGTTAGAGAGTGCCCTGAGAAACATGCTGAATGTTATTAAATGTTTCAAATTGATTTGTTTCTTAGTATACTTGAGAACAGACACATTTATCATATCTATTTATTTAGCAATAAATTCAAGCGTTTTTATTTATTTATATTGAAATAAAAATGGTTTGTCAACAAAAACAATAAAGTTAATAATAAAAAATATGCCGCAGTCGGTAAGATTCGAACTTACGCGGGAATATCCCAATGGATTTCAAGTCCATCGCCTTAACCACTCGGCCACAACTGCTGTGGAATTATCATATTGAGGAAGTGATATCTTTTACTTTTATAACAACATATTAACAGTTTTTTTTTAACTATATTTTCTAATAAAACAAAACATAGTGAAGGATATCCGCACATCTTCGGTATCCCATCTATATGAGGCAGTATGTCTTGAATATTAGAAGACGAAGTTCATTTTTCTGCGTCGTCTGTAAGTTCCCATAACTTCAAAACATTTACTGGTGTTAAAGGACGATTGATAAAACCTGGTACACTGAACTAAAGAATATAAATTGTAAAAATGATCATTTTCCAATTGTTCTATTTTTCTGAAGGCGAAGAAACCGGATATAACACCCCAGGTTAGATGTCTTGAAACGACAATCGAACACTAAACAAACAATGGGGTAGGAATGGGCGTGACAAGCGCAACAGTTGCTAGAGAGTGCCCTGAGAAACATGCTGAATGTTATTAAATGTTTCAAATTGATTTGTTTCTTAGTATACTTGAGAACAGACACATTTATCATATCTATTTATTTAGCAATAAATTCAAGCGTTTTTATTTATTTATATTGAAAGAAAAATGGTTTGTCAACGAAAACAATAAAGTTAATAATAAAACATCTAATATTTTTCATCACACCAAGTTAAAAA